GTAGATGAAATAAACGTTCGTCCAGACAAAAAGAAAAAAGAAACCACTCCAAGACACAAAACAATTCAAGTAGAAAAGTAGGGTCTAGCTTTGCCCAGTCCATAGAATGTAAGTCAGGTTTAGGGAACGCTTTCGCGAGAGCCTGATAGTGTTCCTTGATCAATCTATGGCGAAAAGACTTATCCACAAATGTCTTTACATCACCCTCCTTCAGGGCCAAGCGTTGGTACTGCTCCTTCAACTTTTTTGCTTTTGGGTCAATACCGACATCTTTCAAAATCTCCAAGGACAATTTCTCACCTTCGCTCTCACGTAGATAAGGCGACGAGAAATCCTCTTCGGAGAAGCTGAGACACTGTGGTTTTTTAAACACGTTTTCAAAGGAATCGCCATAGCGCTCCTTTCGACGTGAATCACGTGAAGTCCGAGAAACCTTTTGCTGTAGCGAAGACACCTACTAAGTAAAGTCATCGCCAGCTAGAAGACTTATATTCCCAGGCGATTGAGAAGGCTTATTGCCTCCAATCAGCCGGGAAATCAGTTCAGACTGTTGTTGTTGACGGTTTTGACGTTGCTCGACCGGTACGCTCTCTAACGAGCCAGCTTCCCGGGTTAGCCTTGAACTTTGTGCAGTGTCTTGTACACCGAATTCTATAGACCTCCGGTCATACGTAGTATTATCTTGCTGAGAGTTTAAAGATGCCGTGATAGCTTCGCTCAGGCAGCGACTTATCGCTCGTGTTCAACGATCCGGGTGAGATATCGTCGCTTTCAATTGCAGTCTCGTCCACAGTCTCTGGTCTTGACGGACCAACACTTGAACCTGGACTGTTTAAATATGATTCCAGTGAAAAATCGTCGTAATAATCCATCRAATAAATTCAAATCTAAAAGTTCTTCTTCGCTCGCAAAATTGAAGATCTGAATGTGCATTCAAGCATGCTCAAGGTCATGGCATCGTGCTGGTCAGTGATTGGCTGAGGCGCGAGTCCCCTTTTCCTCATTAGCTAATTTTTTCGCGCTCTTTGCTTTGCAAAGTTTTTCTTTAAATTTGCAATTTTTGCCTCGTATTGAAAATCAACAACTTGTGATATCTAACTTGGATCCGAAGTATAATTAATTTTTAATTTCATTTCAATTCTATCTTTATTTTCATTTCTATTTTATTTTTTTTAATTTCATTTTTTACTTAAAAAAGAACTTAAAAGACAAATTAAATCGCTTTTCAAAATAAAGAGAAAGTGAAATAAAAATCAAAACTAAACTCAAAACCATTTTTTAGCGGCCGATGGCTGCCACAGTATCCCAGCATTCATTGCAGCCCAAGCTTTACAAACAGAGGGAGTCTGGAATCTACTGCGCGGGAGTTCCAAAATGGTTGATGGTGGATTGCGTAACCGACACTTGGAAAGAGGATTCTAGTATCCCTGAAGATTTGAAAACATACGTCCAGCAGCTTCTAACACGAAACGAAATTTTGAACTTTGTGAGAAGAGATTACCCTAGTTATTTGTGGAGTAAGCGAACCCTTGACTGACGGCTCTGATACTTCGGGATTTACTATAGTGACGGTGAAATCTCTGTTGATGAAGTTAAAAGCGCGGTGCGGAAGGAGCTTAGTGGCCCAGGAAGGCTTCTAGGATACCGTGGTATGCAAAAAAAGACTGGAGAAAAGAATGGTCTAAACGCACCCAGAGATTTGGTGCATGCAGCGATGCAAGATTTAGACTTTTTCTTAAAGCACGAGCACTCGGAGTGAAAACAAAGAAAAGGAAAGGTCAGTTTACTTCTAAATGAGCGAATTTTGTACATTCAGTCGACGAACATGATAAACTCATGGGTTTTCAGAATAGCACTTATCCCCTAGCTGTGTGTGAATGCATCGACACATCAAGTAGGAAACCCTAATATAGTTGGCCGCTGGTATCTTGAATATCTATATAGACCAGAATGATAGCTGCATTCCTCCGTATGGATAAAGGAGCCGGAACAGGTGTAAAGGCAACCATGCATCCCTTTTTGAGGAATCATTATGGAGATCTGGATTATGCAAGTGACAGTGTTATTTAAGGGCCATCTGCTTCCAACCAGGTATGTTATTGGTTTGGTAACCGCTTGAAATTTATTTTCCGAAATATATACAGATTTTGAAGGAGCACAGATGACCCTAACAATGGCAAGACAGGTTGGAAACTATTGTATATTTGGTGTATTTGCTGACTATTGGATTGTCATGTGCATTGTGCCAATAAAAATACAATTCTGTTAGGTGCAAGAGCATAGGATTGATACAGCAAAAACCTGAAAATAACCAACTGCATTACATTATATTCAAAATTATACTATACTGTCAATTKTTTGGGCAATGTGCAAGTTTTTTCCACTAGTTACTCATGTACTGGTTTGTATTGACAGAATATACACCTTTGTCATAATGGCAGATAATGGCATATAAAATGATCGGAGACTGGTGACTAGTCACACGAAAACGAGGCGAGAAAGGCCTAGCTTCATAACTATCATGGCGTCTAGCACGAGTAATACTACAAACTTTACTGATATTTTAACCGAAAACGATATTCCTGGGGCTTCCCTCGAGGGAAGAAATATAACTGAATTAAAGATTGCCGATCTGAGATTTTGGTTGAAGTGTCGAGGAGATCCAGCAAAAGGTTTAAAAACAAAAGCGGAGCTTGTTAAGAGGTACGTAGCAGCTTGAAAGTTTTGACAAACATGCAAGTTTCGTAAATG